TTCGAGTATAAGGGCAAAAGGTATCGTATCTGAAAAATGAAGGGGGAGCAAAGGGTTATACCGGTTGGAGAAAAGTATAATAATGACGAAGAAACCAAAAGAAAAAGGATTACAGTCAAAGACTACAACGAAAAAGGATGAAATACTACTGTTAATGTCAATGGAAAAACCATAGTGATTGGGTGAGGATATGCCAAATATCTAACGTTTTGAGGAGGCGTTATTTTTTTGTTAGCAATTATCATTTATTTCATTCGGCGTTATTTAATTAAAAGACTTAATACTTGATAATTAGTGCATGCAATGGACGACCTCAAAAAATACTTAAAATAGATAAAAATGAAGAGATTAGTCAAACGCAAAAAAAGAAAAAAACGAAAAGAAGTTTTTAAATTTCACTTTTGAATGTCTTTTTTAATAATCATGCCTATTAATGTACTTTTGATTATTTTCGTGAAAGAATGAAGATACTATTTTCTTTTTTGGGATTACTCAATATTAGCATGATTACTTTGTTTGCTCTTTTGTTTGATTTACGCTTTTTGTCGAGCAGTAAGCGGAGGGATTAGGATTAGAGGAAGAGGAGGACCGCCACCATTTTTATTACGACGTTATTAGATTTTTTTCTTTTTTTAGACTGCAAAATCATATTAGAAGAGAAAAAAATATTAAATATGGAAAAAGAATATATTGGTAAGGAAGAATTTATCAAAATAAAAGACCAAGCCTTGATTATTGATGTGCGGGATAAATTAGAACACCAAACTCTTAAAACATTTTTGAATAGTATTAATATACCTTATGAAAACTTAATTATTGAACCGGAAAAATATATTTCTGACCAAAATAAACTAATTATTATTTATTGTAATTATGGTAATCGTTCAGGCAAGGCGGCAAGTTTTTTGAGAAGAAAAGGTTATTCGCAAGTTTTTGTTTTAAAAGGAGGAATGTATGGCACTCAGTAAAATGTTATAAAATTTTTTTATGTATATAGAAAAAAAGAACATTTGAAAGTCTTTGTTGTTTAATTTGGCAATTCATAATACATTAATGATAGTAGTGTGGGCAATTCAAACCGCTTTTGGTCAAACTCCCTATTATTTATTATCCTTTTGTATTACTAATGCTATTGCAATATTAGTGTGGATTTTTCAGATTTTGAGTGTAGGATAAAATTATAGGATATGTCTGAACCTCATATTTTTCTAAAAAAAAACCAAGACCATCGAATTATTGCCAAAGAATTAGATTTATATATTTTGGATGAAAAGGCTGGTCAAGGGCTGCCTCTACTTTTGCCTAATTGAGTAATTATCCGCAATCAAATTCAACAACTTATTCGGCAAAAATGAGCAGAATATAATTTTCAAGAAGTAATTACTCCCATTTTAGGAAGCGAGGAATTATACCAAACCAGCGGACATTTGGCTCATTACCAAGATTATATGTTTCCGGCCATGAGCCGCAATAATGAAACTTACTACCTTCGACCCATGACTTGCCCCCACCATTGTCTTATTTACCAACAAAAACCTCGTTCTTACCGGGAATTGCCTTTCCGTTTAGGCGAAAATTCAATTTTACACCGCTATGAAACTTCGGGAGCTTTGAAAGGTTTAGAAAGAGTGCGAACGATGGAACTAGCCGACCATCATATTTTTGTTACTCCGGAGCAATTGAAAGAGGAATTTAAAAAAAATTATCATTACATTAATGAGATTTTAACCACCCTCAATTTTAAGGTTTCTCGCTTGGTTTGTTCGCTTCATGACTCTGACAACCAAGAGAAATATCATTCCGATGAGAAATTATGAGAATATTCCGAAGAACTTTTGGTGAGTTCGCTTAACGAACTAAATTTAAATTATGTTACCTTAAAAGGAGAAGCGGCTTTTTATGGGCCTAAATTAGATATTGAAATTCAGACTACTGATGGAAAAAACGTCACAGTATCAACGATTCAATTTGATTTTGTTTTACCCAAAAAGTTCGGTTTACATTATATCGACAAAGAACAAAAATTACAAATTCCGGCCATTATTCACCATTCCCCCATTGGCACTTATCAACGCTTTATTTCTCTACTATTAGAACAAACAGAGGGCAAATTACCTTTTTGATTAGTTCCGTGCCAAATTTCTATTCTGCCCCTTAACGAAGAAAAGGAAATAAAAGAATACTGCGAAAAGTTAAAAAAAGAACTAGTTAAAAATAATTTGCGAGTGAAAGTGTGGTCAGAAAAATCCCTTAATTATCGCATTCGTCAAGTATATCAAAAAAAAATCCCTTATTATTCAGTAATTGGCAAGGAGGAAGTAAAGAAAGACATATTAAAACTAATATACACTTATCAAGAGGGAAAATCAGAAGAGTTGACTAAAAAAGAATTGTTTAGTAAATTAAAGAAAGAAAATGAAAAATAGTAGAATTTTAGTGCCTCGTTGATGATTAAAAATTGTGAAGTCAAATATTTTATTCTATTTATTTTTATTGACTACTTTATCTCTATTTTTTTTGATTATTTCCTTGTTATGGCAGATAGGATGAGGAGGAGGGCAGGGCATGTAATATCTCGTAGTTTTTTTTGCTTTATTAATTATTGTAAGTCCTTTGTTTCATAATTCCAGCAGAAAAAGGTAAGAAAAACAATTCCGGTGATTAAAGAAATTGGGATAAATCAAACTGGGTTAAAAAATCAACTTTCTAGCGAATAAGGTCAAGTCCATGAAGCGGGCATAATATTTTTTCCCCAGAATCATATTATTGGAAAAAATGCCAGAAGAGTCGAAGCTATCCAACCTGCTCATTTTGCTTTTGTTTTTAAAAACAAGTAAGGAGCAAAAATTAAACCAAAAAATAAAGCTGGTGCAATAATTGTAGTTCATAAAGCCAATAAGCCAAACCAACTAACACTAGTGTTTATTCCTGTTCACCAGTAATAAAATCCAAACGGAAGCAGGAAAAGCAGAGCATTAGCAATAAAATAAAAAGTTAAAAAGGCTAAAATTTTCCCTCAAATAATCTCACTTCTTTTCACTCCGGGAGAGGTAGTCAAAACCGTGTCTTCCTCCCCATTTTCTTGGGGTTTAAAGAAAACATTATCTAAAACATTAAAAAATAACCAAAATAAGGCAATGGTTCCTGTCAGGTTTCATCAGGAAATATCATTTAGTAATTTCAAAAAAGGTTTTCCACTCTTATAACCCTCGGTTTGGCAAAAGAAGAAAGCCGTATTTGCCTTTCAGGGACTATCAAAAGATAAAGGCAAGGATTCAGATTTAGAATTAAGCAAAGTTCGGTCTAGCACCTCTCTTTTGCTTATCTCATTTTTTAATTTTTCCATTTTTTTTAGGTTTCCTGTTTTTTTTGCTTTCTGTAATCATTTTATTTTTTTCGTAAGTTTTTCTCGATTTCATTTTCAGATTTTTTCCTGACTATTTTTGAAAGTTTTGTCACCCACTTTAATTTCTGTTTCTTGGCCAAATAATCCTTTCGACCAATTGCGAAAAGTTCATTGTTTTATTTGGTTTTGTGTTTCGCTAGTATTTCATCCTTGCTTGCTTTCTTCTTGAAGATCTTCTAATATTGAACCTTTATTAGTTTTATAAAGACTGTAAGGCAAGACAAATCATCATCCAACTACTACTACCAATGTAATTAAAGTAATCCGTAATCAGTTCCGGCGAAAAATTTTTCTAAAGTAGTATTTATATAACTTTCCTAATTGCGACATTAAATGTATTAAATAAGTTTTTATTACTTTCCTTATTGTAGCATTACCAATAGTTCAATAAAACTCACACTTCAGTATCCGTGCACATATGTTATTATATGTATACTAAAATATTATATATTTTAATGGTCATAACTCACCAACTCTGAATTCACCACAAAAATTATTGAATGACTTAGCAGAAATAAAACGGGTTAATAAGTCTGATCTCAAAGCCTTTTTAACCCAAGACCACACTTCCTTTACTGTCCTTTCAGTCTCTACTAAACACATTGAATCTACCAATCGAATTAGCATTACCTTATCTAAAAACTCAGCTCAATCCTTTTATTTAGACCAAACTAAGACCAAAATCAGCACTCCACCGACTATTTCTAATTTATCTAAACCCGATGACTGTCTCCAAGATGCTCAAAATTGTGTTTACTTCCAATTCTTTAATTCCAAAGAAAAAAAACTCTACACTCGTTTTAAAGATAACTTTGAAGCCAACTTTTTATGTGCTTGTTTACCCTCTGAGTGTTCCCATCAACATTTATTCCTTACTGGCACTTATAACACTTCGCAGCAAGACCATTATGCGTGAACTACCAACTGAGATAAAACCGACTCTTGCTGAGATACTTTACAAGCCCAAGCCTGATTAAAAGACTGAGCGGGCAAATTTGACCCGCTGGCTGAACCCATGAAAATCTTACTTCCTCCAGTGTACGAGGATGCTACTCAGTTCTTAACCATTAAAAAACACTTTGCTCAACTAATCAAAGATATTAACCGAGTTTTTAAACCCACTAATTGAAAATGAGTAGTGGTTTTTGAATTACAGAAAAAAACCGGTAATTGACATTGACACTTATTCTCTACTCCCTTTATTCCTTACTCTCATAAGTGTGTGCTGAGCCACGACAAAACTAAATCCTGTTGAAATTGCCGCACCTATTTAAATAAACTATGAACTTATGGTCGGGTAGAAAGTCGCAGTTTAAATAAACGAGCGGCGGGACAATATTTAGCCAAGTATCTCTCTAAATCTTTTCACCTCCGTACCCTCTATGCTCAACATGGTCTTAAAGATAGACATCGGGCTTATCACTTTTACCTTAACCTTTATGATTATGAGCAACGAGCAGTTAATTTAGTTGGTAAAAGTAAAATTGACCAACTAACTGGAACTAATTTAAATGGCAATCAACACATTTTTCGCCATTACGACTACCAAACTGCCGAAACTAGTTATTTTTATCGCACTAACAAAAAATTAACTGGTCAATGTTCTAAACCAGTCTTGATCAAAAAAAATTATCGTTTAGGCACTCGCTCCTTAAACCCACTAAATTTACTAACTTTAGCCACTAAACATGCTAAAAAAGAACTTTATCAATTTAAAAAGCCTAAAAAACCTGTGGTTCAGCATGATTTTCAAGAATTCTTAATTACTCGTTTACTACTCTTGTGCAAATCTGCCGAATTTACTCATTTACCCTTAGAACAAGAAAGAGTTAGTAAAGAACAGGGTACTTGTGACCAACTTCCTTATACCCATTTTCAAACTAAACCGGTTTTGCGGTTCACTTTTTTACCCGCCCAAGCCTCGATCATTAGAACCTTTATCGCTAATTTAGACACTTATGCTGAGGAATATGACCTCGAAGAATCCAAAGACTTTAACGCTTATCCCATCATCCACAACCCTAAACATGAAACTATTAAGTCCTTAAATGGACTTTGTGGTTGTGAAATCCGAGCTCGCAACCAATACCTAAATAACTGACAAATGAATTATCGCTATGCCTAAACAATACCATAGTTACTGCTGTATAATCAGTAGCCAATTAAATTTAACTTTCCAAAAAAAGGAGGTCAATAATGCTTACCAAATTAACACTTTTTTTACTAAGTTAGCCACTGATTTATTAGAAAAGACCAAAACAAAAACTGGACTTTGTCTACTCTGCAATAACTTTTTAACTGATTTAAAGGATTTTTCCCAACACCGAAAAAAAGTTGCTAAAGTAAAAAGTTTACTAACTCACCAAGATTTAGTGGAAGAAATGGTAAATAGAGTAGAAAAAGGAGAAATACCAGCTACTGAACAGTTTTGATTAGATCTCCTTTATCTATATAGCAAAAGAGATTGAGAAGTCTGTTTTGGTGATGAGCGAGGAGGATTCAAAGGGTTTAATATCCCAGATAAATATTTTCACTCCCGCAATAGCAAAGAAACACTTAATAAGTTAAAAGAGATTGACAAAACCATTGAACAGAGAACCCCAATCTAAAGGAGGAGACACCTCCTCGTTAGTTGTCCATGACTAACGGGAAACATTTGAGCCTAATCAGGAGAAATAATTTTCTCGTTCTCTTACTGTTGTCCCACTGGTTAGGTGCTCCCGCCACTATTTGGTTCGGGGCAGCAGGTCATAAAAAACAAAAAAATCTATGCTCACTCTCATTTTACTCACCCTCTTTTTAGGAATCAGTTTAGGTCTATTACTGACCACCATTATCACACTTTATCTTTTTAGAATTAAATGTCCTAAATGTAAACAACTAAGACCTTTAAAAGAGATAATTTTTTTACACTGAAAATCCAGAATTATCACCGGTCAACCCTGTCCAAGGTGTCAACGACCTCAACCCCAAGTATCTATCGAATTATAAAACTATGCCTCAAGAACTCCAAATCAAAGCCCGTATTACTGAAATTGAATCCAAAGTAGACAAAAACAGTAATCCTTATTGTCGGCTCAGTCTCCGAGGTCTAACTAACCGTTATTTTTATGTTTTTAGTAATAGCCTAAAACCAGAAACCTTTACGACTTTAACTAATACTCCTTGCAACTTCATCAACCGTCAAGTCTTAATTACTTATCAAGAACTTCCTAATCAAGATAACCAAGGAACTTTTAGTAAAGTTAAAGCTATTGAAATTTTGTAAACCATCATGACTAAAAAAAAATTTACGACAGCCGAATACTTGCGAAAACTAGGCTATTCGGTGCAAGAGAATATTTATCAAAATAAAAACCAAGTTGGTGATTTATCACTAATAAAGGAATTCCAAAAACACGAAGCAAGACAAAAAATTTTAACCACTCAATTCCAATCAATCTCCGATGTGGAATTAATTGAGGAACTAAAAAAGCGAGTCAGCCAACAAGACATTAAACTAAGTATTTACCCCAATCAAGAACATATTTTTATTGTCGCCAAAGATATGACTAAGGAAGTTAGTTTCCCTTTACCCATTGAAATTAAAGTTAAACAAATCTAAATGAAGTGTAACCAATGTTTAAAAGAAATCCCTAAGGGTAAAGAAATAAGAATGTATGGAGGAGGAACATATTATCGCAATTATGGAGGATGCTATTGTGAGGATTGTTGAAAAACTAAGAAAGAATATAAACATGAGGAAAACAGAAATTCTTCTCCTAGTAGCAGTGGTAATTCTATTTCCGTTTTGATGTGAGTTGTAATGATTTTAGGTTGGGTTTTATTTGCCCTTATGTTTACTTTATGAATTCTCAAAAGAGAGAAATAACTAAAAATCCATGTCCCAACTAATTTATAAAAATGGCTGTTGAGGCTGTAAACGAGCCACAGAAGACCCTCAGCAACAATATGTCTGTCCGAAAGTCAAAGAACATTGAGCAGAGTATCAAAAACAACCTCAAGAATTTTAAAAATGAACCAACTTAAATCAGGGAGTGTGATTAGCCTTGACTTCCTGCTTAGCACCAGTCAAGAAACAAGGGGTTAATTCCCCTTCACTTCCACCAATATAATTATGCCTCAATCCAAGAAATTACAAATTAAAAATAAATTACAAAAATTAACTGAATTATTAAATAAAATTGATGAAGTTAGAGTGATTAACTCAGATGACTCCGACACCTGAGACTCGGATGCTCTTTATGACTTGGTCGAAAACTTAAAAGCCACCTTAAAGTTATTAGTGGATCAAGAATCACCAAAGGAAAAGGATGAATTTGGTCAACCCTTAATCTTAGAAGTAGGATTATGTTCTTTGGTCGATGAATACCATTCAGAAGCAGAAGATGATGACTAACCACTCCATTTACTCCCTGTTAACTTTGGACTTCTGAATTAAAAGGAGTTGTTCCCAATGTCAGCAAGACTTCACTTCCGCTGATTATCAAGTGCAGAATTATCAACTTACTTTTCAAGCACTCGCCAAAGTTAACCAACACTCTTTAACGACCACTTTCCAATTATCCCATAAATCCTGCTGTTCAGACTGCACTAATTACCTTCAAGAACTAAATCAAAATCAACCATGTCAAAAAAACGCAAACTCCACCAATTAACGGGACAAATTAAAGGTTGTTGACCCGGACAAGTCAACTCCAAAAGTCAATATCGCGGATCAACTTTTTACTGTTTAGAGATTGCGGTTCACAGTCTCTTTAACCCCACTAAACAAACGCTGTATGCTTTTCCTAATTTAGTCTCCAAAGAGATTTTAAAGGTCTTAGAATCACAAAATTTTAAAGACAAAAAATATCTCTTTACTTATGAAAAAAGAACTCGCGGATGAAGACTTAAAGATTGAGAGGAAATCAAAGACTAATCTACCAAAGTTGCTAAAACAATTATATGGATAGCGTACGTCCATAGTTCATACCAATGATTAAAAACTTTTACGACAAGTACAGCCAGGCTACTTTTGAAGCCGAAAAATTAAAAGACGTTCCCAAACAATTTCGTCATATTGCCAAAAGAGTTTGGCAAAAATTAGACATTCTTGAGGCTGCTCCTAACCCAAAAATTTGCGAAGCGCTATTAGGTAAAAAGAATTACGAGCCTTTAAAAGGTGATCGCAAGGGTCAGCACGCCATCAAAATAAACGATCAATACCGCATTTGCTTTCGATGAGGTCAAGATAATCATGCTTATGAAGTTGAAATAAATAAGCATTATTGAGACTAAAATTTATTAACCTAACCTTATATTAAACTAAAAACCAACCCTTAATCCATATATCAATCAATTTATAACCCTATGAAAGCCATCACCCTATCCCGAGCTATTCATCCTGGAGAAATCCTAAAAGCAGAATTGTTAACTCCGCGAGGCATTAGTCAAGCCGAATTAGCTCGCAGCATTAATGTTTCGGTACGCCGAGTTAATGACATCTGTCAAGGTAAGCGAAGCATTACTCCTGATACTGCTTTGCGCCTAGCTCTTTATTTTAATTTAGGAAGTGAAGGAGTAGAATTTTGAATGAATTTGCAACATAACTACGAAAAACGTTACTGAAAAAGCATTTTAGCCCATCAAGAAAAAGTCATTAGGAAGCAAATTCATGCTTTGCCTCGTTCCTGAGGAAAAATTAAGTTGAATATTTAAAAATCAAGTAGTATTAGTTGATCACTAGCTCCGGATGACAAATACTACACCTTTCTCAATGACA